TGTTTATGGCTCATATTTCATTTGCAATGATCATTTAAAAATCTTAAAAGTTCCGATTTAGACTGAAATGTTGCTGAGCTTATTCATCCTGTCAGGCATTAGTTAGTTGTTAGTTGTTTGTTTGTTATTTGCTGCAAAAAATAATCGTAAGGTAAATCATCCATTAAATGATCTTTTCCTTTGCTTCATACCGGTTTCTCTTCTTTTGCACATGTAGTGTGAGTTTAGTTAGCAAAAATAAACCAAAATCTTCAGTAAAATAAAATAAAAGTTTTAGCTGAACTCAATTTGTCACTGAAGTTAAGCACTGCACTTTTTTTAATCTGAAAAAAAATATAACGCAGCGCAGCATTTGGTTCCCTTTAGAAAAGGATTAAGAGTGAAATTGATGGGAATGAATGAAAAAATCGGAAATGGAACAGATGACTTTTAGCTATGAACTGAATAATTTCAGAAATCTTGCCGTTAATAATAAAATGTTTTTTTGTAATGAAACTGCTTCATTTCAAAAAGTGCTCAAATTGCATAATTTCATGATTCGACTTCAATGCTATTTTTGCATTCTGTTCAAAAGACTAATTTTATTACCTTTATTGTTCTTGATTTAAAGTTTTAATGATATAAAAATAGTAGCATTAAATTTGACTAATTTTAAAAGGAAAAAATTTTGTGCTACATTTTTGGTATTCGTGCAAGAAAGTCTGCTGCGAAAAATATGAAAGTAAATATTAAACTGAGACTACTTTTAAATTATTTTAATAAAATTTGATTCAGTTACTTATGGCATGAATGGTTTACAGAACGAAAATTTTAGAATGATGTACACAATATTTAATCTCCTAAAATGTTTATAAAAATTCAATTCTAGTAGCACTCACTGTAATATTATTTTTAAAAGGAAACAGTTAATGATTTTTCAAATTACTACTTTGATCTATTTTCGTTTCTTAACTTTAAATGTAGCTCACAAAAGCGATAAACTTGCCAAATTCAAGAAATGATAGTCGTCTTCAATATTTCATGTATTCAATTTTAAAGATATTTTTAGTATATTAAATTATTAGAAGTAGAAAAAAATTTGCGACGGTGATAATTTTTTGAGAATCTGAGATAGAAACTGTTCGGTTTTGCTACAAAATAAATTAATACAATAGGTTCACCAGAATCCGAGAAAGAATTTCTAATTAATTCAATGAAAGGAAACAGTAAAAAACTTCACTTGACAGTTTGTTCAATTCATTAATGAAATGGTCATTAAGTTCAATAATAATTGATCCCGTACTTATTTAGCAACCTCACTGCTTGAGTAGTTATTTGAAATATTTAGTTGAAAAACATATGAGATAATAATTTAAAATGAAAATAAATAGTTTGAAGTGATTAAGGAAAACGATTCATAAACATTTGATTATATTGTAGTATGGAAGGCTGCAGTAATTGTGGTAAATGTGGTTGTGTGAACACTATACGACAAAAGCAACAATCTCCGCTCTCTTAAAAACTTCCAAATTAATCACATTTATCACCTATTTACATCTCACTTCGACACCAAGAAATAAGGAAAAAATAAAACTGAAAATGTTAACAGTTGTGCTTAATTACTTTAATAAATAATATATAAATCATTTAAAAATTATGCATGCACTGAAGTTGAACATTTTTTTGAAGTTTTATATCTTAACAGTTTCTTGATTACTAATGAAACAAATAATCTTTGAAATAAAAAGTAGTGCCTACAAAAATTTTACTCTCATACAAAAGTTTTTAATATCTGTGGCATGCAAGATGCTACAAAATTTCAGTACAATTATATATCTAACTAGAAAGTTTTCACAAGCACTTCGATAATTTTTGATGCTAGAAACAAAATGGCAATAATTTGTGCGAAGGTGCTAAAGTTTTACATAAAAAAATTTCACGTAACCAACATTTTAACTACGAAAATCGCTGCAAATGCTTAAATTATTTGTATTATTTTGTTTGTAACAAGTATTTAAAAATGTAAAATAGTAAAAATCTAAATTTTGAAAATAGTAAATTTGGTGCAAACAATGAAAAAAAAGCTTTCCGTAAGAAATATTTCAGAATAGCCCACCTTCAAAAAATTTCATAATACGTGTATATTACGTTTCTTTAGTCATTTTTGCATAACCTGATTACTTAATTTTTTGTCTCTGCAAAGTTCATTTTGAATTTTACTAGATATATTAAGAGCTCAATTTATGTAAGACAATTAGAGACGTTGGATAATGGCTTTCAATACATGGCAGTAATTAAGAGATTGAGAATTCTGAAATCAAAATTAAATTTTAAAGTGCGCATTAAAAAATGAACGAATTATTAATGACTGATAACGAAAAATACTCAGACACAATAAAGATTTTTTGTCAAAAATTAATCATATTATCTATACAAATCTATAGATAATTTGCTGAAAATATTTTATGCCACTGTTTTGAATTACATTGTATTTACATGAATTATCGTATACAATACATGAATTTTAAACGCATCAAAAACTTGATTCCATGAGTTATAAATCATTATTAGTAATCCGTTGATTTCAGTTAGATCATTGAAAAGCCACCGAAATTTATATCGAATTGTTGTTAACAATATTTTTAAGCAAACATAATTTTGCTGAAGAAAAAAAATGGGACGAAATTATACTTTCCAAAGGATACATCGCATCAAAGTTCACATCAGATTTTTTCAATTCCTGCTTTCTTTTTTGCTGATTGCTAGAAAATGACATCGTAACAAATGGTATTTTGCTCAGACAACCGAAAATATTTTTGCATTTCCGAATGTCCTTCAAAAGTTTCAACCATCGTAACAGCGCCTATTTATTTCCCCAATCTATACACCATAATTTGACTTTTCAACAAATCTTAAGCAAAAAAACAACCATCTTTTACATTCATTTATACTTAAACATGCAAATTAGCCTATCACAAATTGCGCTCTTTTTTCAAAATTAAATCAAAAATGAGAAAATATTTAAATTTGTCAGTTTGACAAATGCGTATGGATGATTTAGTAATGATAAAATTTTTTTCATTTCACTTCGTTATGTTCAAATTCTGACTTTTTTCAGTGAAAGTTTGAAAAAAATGTAGAAGTGAAAAAGGACGCACTTACTTTGCATACTTCCTGAGAATTAAATTTATTAACGTTCTCTTTACAACCAATTCATTTCTTTCTACACAGTGTATTTTTCATATTTTGTACTTCTACTTAAAAAAATAAATTGCTTGCGAAAAATTTCCATCTGTCGAATGGCTTCAGTCCACAATTTAGTTTCCTTGAAAAAGCATCATTTTGTTTTTTAAATTTCGATAATTACTAGATGAAGGATACATCGAAAATGAAATTGAGATGCAGTTTGCGAAATGAAAATAAACCACAAGTCATGCTGTTTTTATATTTCTTCAATTTAAATTTCAGATTTTAACTAGAAAAATTTCACTTTAATCTAAAATTTGTATTTGCATGTTGAGACTGAAAGCTATCGAACACTTCGAAATATGTCCATTATCAGCAAGATTTCAGCACCTTGAAGCTTGATATGAGGATCCGAAAAAATATGCTACATCAGTTATGCATATAACTATTTAAAAATGTTTTTCTAGGTCGTGAAATAGTATCATTCAACAAGCAACGAATCAAAAATGTAGACAAACAAGAAATTTTGTGATTATTATCAGTTAGATATTTTTTTCCCAATAGTATATTATTAGTGGAAAAAAGTGCCCTTCTGACACTTTTTTTACTAATAGTATACTCCACTTTACGTGAGCAAAATACGCTCGAAAACTTTAGCATGTTTATATCAGTAAGTGGTGCTCAATCAATTCTGCTAAAGACGAATTTATTTAAGTCATTCTGAAAAATTTTTAAAAAATTAATCAGCACACAAGTCTTATATATTATTAGCAATAACCGCTGCTGCATATTCTTAGATTTTCATATTTACCAACGAAAAATACTGTAATGAATTTGGACATTTGCTAAAAAAGGACGAAGTATTGTTATGACAAGAAATAAGTAGATATTATGCTTAAAATCATTAAGAACGAAAACAATGGAAAGATAAAGAATGTTGAAAAGAAATTCAATGGTTCAATAAATAGTATTTACAAAAGAATTGTTACCGTTATTATTCGCAGGATGGAATTTCTGGAATGAAAATCTTCTGCCTCCGCAAGGTTTATTTTTAATTTTATTTAGTATATATTATGCATAATTCGAAATTAAAGCTCATTTTTTGTTTGAATATTAGACACGCTGGATGATAGCCAAGAAGCTTTAAATACACATTAGTGATCAACTGATTAAGAATTCTGAATTTAATACTAAATTTTAATGTCCACATGAACTTTAAAATTTTTTGTAGGCATTCCTGCAAAGCACAAAAAACTTGATCACTTAATTCCAAAAAATTTTCAAACATGACTGATAGGCTATTTGAAAAATCTAAAAACGCTAAAGTACTCGTTCTCAACTTCATCTCATTTTTTTGATTACATATAGATGAATTAGAATCAAGCCTTATTTTTGAATCTTTCAGCAGTAAATGCATGAAAATATAACCGACACATAACGTAATATTTGCTTTCTTCAATAAAAATGTTTCAAATCTTTTTAAATGCTATTCATAAATTTTGATCAATTTGTCCACTCTTCAAACTCCACTAACTTTTTCGCAATGATAAAATTGAGTTTCTAATTAACATCTTAGAATTAATAATAAGAATGGAAATTAAGTGTTCCACAAGATTATTAAAATAAATCTTGTATAATTCAATTCAAAAAAAAAAAAATTTTCAAGTAAATGGTGATGAAGTATTTTTGAGAATTTTTCTATTTTCTATCTTTTTCTTATAAACTTTTGACATCCATGCTAAGAAATACGAAATGACAATCAAGACTATTTTAAAATTCAAAGACTCATGAGTATGAAAAATTTTTCGTTCTTTATTTTACACCAAGATGTAATATTAAAAGCGTATGAAAAATGCGACTGTAATTAAAGTAGAAAAAATAATGCAATCAGCTTATCAATAGAAAAATTTTTTGCATGTTGACTTCATAATAAGTATCGTAGTATCCATTTGTGAAAAAGCTAATAACAACATTTTAGATGCTTGTAGTATGATTTTTTGTGATTCACAACGCTTATTGTTTGAGGTAAAAAAATCCTTAACTTTTGGTAGTGAATGAATCCAACAACATATTTGTTTGGAAAAGTAAAAGAAAATCATCTTTCTTAATGACAATGCAGAACAAATTAACAAATTATTATGTGTAAAATTGCATCCAAACTGAAATGGTAAAAAGAAATACAAACTAGGTCTTGTTTGAATAGCAAAAAGAAATGACTTACATGTAATAAAAGACGTTGCAGTTGACGTTAACGTTGTTGTTGAAGAACTCTTTACTCTTTGACGCTGTAAGGATGGATGGCAAAGCATTTCATCAGAACCATCCGAACAGTCAGCTTTCCCGTCACACTGCGCACTTTCATTGATACATTCCAAGTTAACACACTGATACTGATTGCTTGCGCATACTCTTCCGGCTTCCAATACTTCATACTGCTCTCTAACATCAGCTTCCACATAGCGATTATTTTCATCAATATTATTATCATCACCAGACTATAAATTAATTATTACGAAATATCAAAAACAACCTACAAAACACTCAATTAAAGATTTTGATCACCTAAAAATACTTCAAACTTCACTTTCTTCTTCTTACAAAACTGTTGTTATCCACTGGTCATAACAACAACACTTTAGTTCACACAAAAATGTCCGGTAACGATTAGAAGTTCTAATGTTCGAATTAACTGTGCATAATTTAAAGTTCAATAATTAATTGAAGCATTATAATTTATGACTAAATGTGCTTTTCACGAATCGTGCTAGGTTAGACAAAAAGTTTGTCTTCAAAATACAGAGGAATCAAAGATGTGTCTGGAGAACATGTTAATATCAAAATATATGATAATGATTTTAGTTCAAGTTTAGGATCAACTTAATTCATTCAATAGTGTGTGATTTAGCTGAAATGAAAGGTGAATAAATTTGAACTTACATGGAAAGGCTTGACCCTATCATGACGTTCGGCATTAAGTCGCCGATGCTCCTCACTTTCTCTGATTCTAACACCTTCTACAGTCATACTATACTTTTCAAGCTGTTCTCTTTTTTCAGCTTCTTCTGCTTTATGTTCCAGTTCCGTTTTTCTCTCATCTCCCTCCTCATTCTCTCTATCAGATTCTCCAAATCTCGTATAGTCTCTCAATTCATTATCATCTTTTTCAGTCTCTTTCCTTACTATCAGCTCTTCTGTCGGTTCCCTTTCTCTCTGTTTATGTTCTTCCCACGATATTTCTTCATTTCCATATATTTCATGTTTTTCTATCTCATAATTCTCATGTTCTTTTTCAGAATTTTTCTGTTCCTCCTCTTCATAATGTTTCTGTTCTTCTTGACGTTCTAGTTCAATTTCTCGTCCGATTTCCTCCTGTTCCTTCTCTCTCAATTTTTTCCGTTCCTCTCCCTCTTCTACTTCAGCTTGTTCTTGTCCCTCGCTCACTCTTTTCTTTTCTTCATTATAATCTTTCTCGATCTCCTGTTCATCTGTCCCTCTCTCTTCTTGTACTTCTTGTTGTTGCTCTCCCTCTTTTTCCGGTTCATGCTCCTCTCGTTCCCCATCACTTTTTCTTCCTCCTTCCTTATACGCTTCAACTTGAGCCTGCGTTGGTTCTGCGCTGTGTAGTGTTACGGTGTGGGTAGATGTTGTCGCATGCTTGAGAGCTTCTTGGAAATAATCTGAAGATTAGTTCTGTGAAAAATTTTTAAACTTCAGCTCTTTTTCAAATGCAGTTTGAAGCGCTTAGTTCTTATTGCAGTAACATGTACGCTCTATAAGTCTCATTAATGCATGAAACTTCTGATCAGAAATGTGTAAGTACGAAACTTATTTCCTTGTTTAACCAAACAGAAAGTATAAATGAAATTAAATTATATCTCATTAAAACGATCAGTTTGCAATTCACATCGTTCCCTCAGTCTCTGAATTGAAAGAATGAACGTAGCAAATAATGAATAAGCGCCAAAATGAGTTTCATACTAAATAGAAGATAATGAAGTCAAAATAAAAATGATCCTATTTTAACTTCTAAACCAAGAAAGTTTTTGAAAACGTTCTAAGAATAAGAAATTTCGAAAAAAAAGAATTTTTACAAAACAGAAAGGATTAGCATACCGCAACTGGTTTCGTCTGTACCATCATCACAATCATATTTTCGGTTACAGTGTTCAGTTTTTTCAATGCATTTCCCGTCCCCACATTGGAATTGAGTAGTACTGCACCTGCTGGGATCTTTAGGCAGTGATCCATCACTGCCTGATGAAGAGATTATATCATCCTCAGCGCAGTTCATTTCATCGCTACCATCGCCACAATCATCAAAACCATCGCAAAGTTTCACATAGTGCACGCAAAGAATTGTTTCCAAATAAGGGCATCTGTAAAATATTGTTCACATTGATAAATGATATGTGACAAAGAAAATAAGTTTATTATTAGAAAAATTTTCCTAAATTCGGCTTCATCGTATTTAACAAATTGCTCGATTATTGCAATGCAGCCAGTTAAAGTGCCGAAATTTTGTTGATCCATTTTTTTTTTCATATAAGAGAAATGTTTTCAGATTTTTATCATAGTGGAACTTTCAACTTTTCGAAACATATATATACTTAACATTCTATGTACGTTCATTCCACGTTTAAACGCACAACGTATTTAAAAGATAATTGAAAAAATACGCAATTTTTTGTTTTCTCTGCTGTTCTAGAACCATTCTTAGAAACAAATTCACTAACCGAAATTCTTGATCAGAGCAATCATATAAATTTGCATCATTATCGTCAATTCCAATTCCATTGCTGATTTCTTTTATAAGTGATGCCGTACTCGTCAGAGTCTTTGAACGCACTGCAACTGCAGTATCATAACCTTGCTCCTTGACTCCTTCAAACTGGTACAAGTCATTAATATGGTTTATGAATGCTGGTGACGATGTGGTTATTTGTGGTTCTGGTATAGGCGATGTGGGTCGCCTATGTTGTTCGTAACTGGATGCATAATCAGCTGTAAAATCATTTTGGCCATCAAAAAGTTGTCGAGGCAAAGAGTATCCATTATTTTGATGAACTGCAAAATCACCATCATTTTGCCGTAATTTTGCTTCTTTTCCGAATGGCACGATATATGCTCTACTATCTGCGGTGATACGATTTCCTTCACTACTATAACCGTTTCGACTACCACCTTCAATTCTATTGTAGCCATCATTTTCCATCCGTCTACCACTGATTCTTGGTTTGCTGTCAGTTTTAGTTCCAACTCTCCCATTCTGACCATATCCAAAATATTTGTGATCCTTAACATAACTTCTTCCTGACTGCTCTGAAGCATTATAATTATTCGCTGATGTACAATCAGCACTATTAGTGTGACCAATATTTTGTCCATAATCTTCAATTTTGTTATTACGATTCTCATATCCAAAATCATAACTATTTTGATAGCCATCAGCACATCCGTTTCGTCCAGTGCTTTTTTTTTGGTGACCGCTGTATTGGTCAGCTTGCGCTGAATAACTGTTACCATTTCCCCTTACGTTACCATTTCGATACCATCTGTTCCCTTTGCGGTCGTAACTGTCACTATAACCAATGTGCATGCCGCGATCTTTGTAGCTCAGATGATTATAAGCAAAATTATAACGTCTTCCACCGCCGTATTCTTTTGCAAATGAATGACTGTCCTGACCTGAACCTAATAAATAGCCATATCGACTTTGAGCATAACTAGGTGGCGCACGGAGAACATGGTTAACGGATTTCCTATGATTATTACCATGAATATGTCTTTGTTGACTCTTCCGAATTCCTTCCTGCTTACTTTCACGCTTATAGGAAATTTTTCGATCTGCTTTCTTGCTCTACAATTTCAACATGATTTGTTTTTAAATAAATGAACACATCATGCTACATATTGTTTTAATTTTAAGAGTATATCTAATATGATTTGTTTGCAAATTATTTCTTGCTATTCATTTTACTTTAAATAAACAAATCATGACACTTATTCATAAAGTCAAAATTAAATTTTAAAATTTACTCATACTTTCCGACTTCAGAACTTTAAAAAATTTTGTTTCTAATGCCATTTCTTACATTTTCGATAATGCTACCGTAATATACAAAAATCAGGGATATGAATTTGATCATACCTGCTTTTCAGATCTTCTACCAAATTCATTTCTTTGATTTTTGGTACTTGCGGTAACAGGAATATTTTTCCGTTTATTATGCGCTTCTACAGCAGCCAGGAAATACTCTGAAATAAACTTTCACTGATAATCAACAAATATTCAAATAAATATTCACTGGTTTAATTTTTAGATACAAAAATACTGATAAATCCTGTTACAACCTTCAAAAGCATGCTTGAAAAGTTTCACTCTTTACTATAACTAAATAGATAATTAATATAATATTCAACAGTAACTGACCACATTGCATCTCATCACTACCATCAGCACAATCATACTTTCGATTACAAACTTCATGTAGTGGGATGCAGTCACCAGAATTGCATTTATAGTAGCTATTACCACAACCTTCAGTGATTGATCGCTTTCCACTTCCTAAAAAACAATTGAAATTTTTTTTCAGTAATTTAAGCTAAAATTAATTATCTTTAAGTAATCTTCAAATTTTATTGAGTCCATAAAATACAAAAAATGGTGTATGAATTCAAGAATTATATTTATCAATAATCCCTAAATTATGATTTTTTCCCCAAAATTAATTTTTGAAATTTACTCACTAATACTTCGTGACTTTTTTTCATCAAAGGCTCCTACAGAAATATTACAAAAGAAAAAAATAGTCTAAACAAATTATGCAAAAAAATTTTTATCCTTGCTTGTTGAAGTAAAAGTAGTCAACTGAATAATTTTTAAATGAATAACTGCGTGATGATAAGTCAGTGGTACTAAAATCACCAATGTATTTCATGCTTACAAAATTAGATAATATTGAATGCTTGAGAAAATGGAGTAATATAAATTATAACTTGTGTTACTGAATAAAGAATGAAGAGTTTCGTATTTGGACGATGTACAAATTTTGCAACATCTAATAAAAATTCCACATTTTTGAGTGATAATTATTATTCATATCATTTTCCATCTTTTATTGTATGTCAAAAATTAAACTCTCTGTTTCACATTCTGTCATTCTTAGTAGCTTCTGATCATTGCCCATAATAACCAATTAAGTGGCTAATTGTAAAAAACTATTCAACAAGTCGATTAATTAATATTTATTTCTTTGCATACAAATTATTATTTGAATAAATATGCATTTGTACGCATATTTATGTATTTATATATATTTACCCAGTATTTATAGACTTTAGTTTGCAACAATTAAAATTATTGTTATGGGGAATATTACTTAATGGTTGAAATATGAGCAAATCAATGCAGTACACACAGCCGTGCATGCACAAGTCTATGCAAACCACAATTAGAACTAAATTGTTGACAGAAATGAATGAGATAAACGATGAGTCAATTTGAGTTGATCAGTAACGATATATTATAAGAAGTAGCCGAGAGATGATCTCAAACAGTAACCAGTTTGATGTAACAGGTTAAGAGACAGATGTTGTCCTACATTTGAATCACTCCATCTGTGTCATCTTTCATAAAATTTGTTTGTTTCCATTCCTTTCTCACTCGGTTGCTGCATTTTAAGGTCGTCAGTAAATTCTTGAATTTTTTGCCGCAACTCTTTTAGTAAAAAATTGACAATTTATTGATTGGATAACTGAATGTTTGGTTGATTGCAGGAATGGTCAATTATTTAAGTCGTTCAACTTTATGTTAGATGTAAAATGTCGTACTTATTAAAGATGCAATCACAAAAAAGATGAAATAAGTACTGTTATTATATAACAGTACATATATGAGCAATAAATAAATGATTCTAGAGAAAGAATTATTGATGAAAACTTGCACGCGTTTTTTTCTAGTAGTAAGGATTATTTTTTTCATTATTGCTATTTACAGTGGTACGTGATGACAGCAGAAGATTTGAAATCAACAACGACTAATAGTAAGCGAAAAGTAGTATCATTTGTTTATGCAGACTTACCAACTTTTGAATTATGTTTATACTGCTGTTTTCTTTTTTCTTGCACGAGTTACGCATGGTTTCAAGTGTTAGCCACCAGTAATAATTATAAATTTAATATTGGACAATTGGCATCACTGAAAACTTTACCGTTCTTTGGTCAGCGATTTAAGGTTTGTTTGTCAGGAGTTTGTTTAACCGTTAAAGGACAATCAAGCATGTGTTCCCCTTCATGCTATTAGTTTACTTTCAAAAATCAAACATATAAAACTTTTAATTAATGAAATAAAAGTCAAAGCTGGCAGTGCCATGAAAAACTGAAAATGTTCAAATTCATATTTACAATATTAAACTGAATAATATTAATTTTTGAAATTAATAAACATGCAAGAAAAATTTTCAATGATTACTGACTGCTAAAAATTATTGAACAATCAAAATTAAGCAAAAATTCAAGAACGAGCTTTTGTAAACTTTGCCATACGAGTGCTCCTATACTTCCATATAGGATATAAGTTGTTAAAGTGTTTAGCAAAACAACAAATTGGTATTAGTAATCAACTGAGTAATTTAATATCGTAAAAATAAGCTAAAGTCTATTGTAAAAAAAGGACTAAAAAGTTAATTCAACAAAACTCCAATATAACATGCATTTTTGATTAATTTTAGGATGAATCAAATTGGGAATGGAATAACTGGTCATCGCTTGCACTGTCATTACTGCCATTTCTTCTAATACATTCCATTATTTTCAATACTGCTGAACGTTTTGTATCCGATCAAGTTTTACAATATATTACTATTATTTATTCAGTCATCTATAGTTCAGTTCTATTTACCAAATGGCTTGTATTTCTTTCACTCTTTCAAGGAACTCTTATTTTTCTTGTCACTCATCTCACTGGGTAAATTTAATAATGTATTAATTAACCAATCTTTTTTAGATGTAAACGACCTCTAAAATGTTAATAATTCATAGATGAAGTAGTTGATTGAATTGGTTTTCTAAATCTTATGAACTATCAGATGCAATTTGAAGTCTATAATGCCATTTATTTGGAAGAATTAAACATGGTTTTATTTGCAGTTAAAAACATTGCTTACTACAAATTAATTCGAGACTTTTAGTAAATTTGAGTACTTTTTTATTTACCATTTTATACTGAAATATAAAAAAATTAAACGAAAAGTAAATCAACGCTATTATTCTGTAATTACTCACATAAAAATCAAAAAATTGGCAAACTTGAATAATATTTTACAGATATTGGATTGCTACTTGGATTAGCTCACTACCAGTTCTTTACTTAACTATGCATCATACTTTTGAGATATCTCCGAATCCGTTTCTAGTACTTACTTTCGTATCCTACACATTACTTTCGTATATATCATACAATTTGGAAGCACAAGCTGGTGGAGCACGTCCCGAAGACAACACATGGCTGAAGCGTTATATTCGAATGCTCTTTTATACTTTTTATCCACCTTATATGATTACTTTAGTTGTAACTTATGCTGATTTTGAACGTCAAATGCGTGAACGTGTAATGAAAATACATGAATGGCGAAATGTCTTGTTCTTAGTTGTTAGAATCGCATTCTGGTGGGTTTTCATTGATTTACTACTTCATTTTGCCTACTTCGAAGGGATTCTTTTCGATCTCGAGTATGCTAAGCGATTACCAAAGGATCAATTTGTATCACTGGGAATGGCACTGGGTAAGATTTACTTTTAATTCAGTCTTTATATCCTTAGAAGTATATTTAGTTAATGCTGTTCACAATGCTCATATATGATAATGTCATTGCTAATGATTCCATGAAAAGCAGAAGCAACAAGAGTTAATAGAAATAAATAATAAGACTTTCTCGAAATGATTAGGGACTAAATAAGACTTTTTGCAAAAATTTTTATAGAACCCACTGAATTATTTACGAGCGAAAATAAAATTTGCGATAAATTCGTTCAAATTTTTGTGATTCTCAAATAATATAAAAATTAGTAATTGTCGAAGTTTTGAATTTTTGTCTGAACCTAAAATGAACTATCAAAGATGCTTTTAAGATACTTTTAAAAAGAGTATCAAAAACTAAATGTGTTAAATTTTTCTTAATGATGATAAGCTCGTATAATATTATTTACACTGAAGTGAATAAAATGAAGCTTTCATTACTTAATTTTCAAAAATATAAATCGTAGATTAATATGGCATAATTCAAATCTTTAAATAAATTATAGTTTATATGAGTAAGTTGTATTTCAAATAAATATTATTGATTTCATAAGTCAATATTACATTTATTTTTCAGATCAAATACATGATCGCAATCTGATTAAAAAATTTTTTAGGGACATTTTTCCATCTCAAATATGTTGTAATATTTGGATTACCGAGAATTTTTGCTCTAGCCGATAAAATGCAGCCTGTTGATGGTCCAATCTGCATTAATCGATTAGTACTATATTCAAAAGCTTGGCGCTACTTTGATCGCGGCCTATATTCATTTTTCAAAAAATATATTTTCATTCCAATTTGCAGGCCAACTTTTTCAATGACTAGAAAAGTCATTGGTGTACTAATTTCATATGGTTTTGTTTTGCTATGGCATGGATTTTATCATTCAAATATAGTCAGTTCAAAAATTTATCAATTTTTACTATTATTACTATTGGCTTTCTACCATAATTCAATTTTTTTTCAAAAATTGAACTCAAGAATTTTAGTCAAATAGGTTATATAAACTATTTTTAAATATTTGAAGTCAAAAGAAAATCTCAAAATTATCTGCATTATCAAATTTTGACGGGAAAATTACTGAATCAGATAACGAAATGTAAATTAAAAGATCAAATGCAAAATTAGTAAAAATGCAGATAATTTTAATAAGTTCAATGGTTAAAAAATAGATGAAATTTTAGGTTTGGATAAGTTTGAACATCATTGGCTTATTTCTGGAATATGGTGCTAAAGCTATTTATACAATCGAAAGTTTCCAAAAATGGCGTGAAATGCACATTTCTGATTTAGCATTTCGGCGAATTTTAGCTTGGCTTCGTGTAATTCCATTTGTACTTGGCATTTATTCAAATTTTTACTTTTTAGGTGGAAGTGAAGTAGGTTATATGTTTGTTCTTAGGATATGGCTTGAAGAAACACTAACTTTAAGATATCCAGCTATTTTTTTAATTACTTTAGCTTATGCTCATTCACAAATTTGCATAGAAGTTGATAGAAAGTTTGATTCAGTGAGTTCTAAGGCACACTCTGAATAAATATTTGAAAGCAGCAAAGAGCTCAATTATTAATTAAGTGAAAAAAATCTAAAACTTTGAAACGGATAAATTTTAAAATCAATGTAGAAAAAGAGTGTTCTTAAGCTAGACTTTTTTTATAATCTGGTATTTTTTTGTTGATTTGATTGAATGTGATTTGAAGAACTACAAATTTCCTCATGGTTTTTATGGTATTAATAGTAATCTCTGTCTGTACTTTCTGAATAAATATTTCCGTTAAATTTTTTTAGTTATGATGATTGTAAACTGATATGAAGTAAATAATTTGAATTTTTTTGCTTATAAAAAGCTACCTTAATCTGGAAGATGAAAGCAAAAATTTTTCTCCCTGTAATGAATCAGATAAAAAGGTTTCAAGATATATTTAACTGCAAATTTCTGTAATTTAGATATCCAAGCAAAGCATACTGAAGTAGTAAATGAAGACTTCAAGAAAGTTTGATATTTTTTCAAGAGAAAGCAACATGCATTAATGTTGCGAAGAAAAAATAACTGATTAAAAGTAAATGAAAAATTTTTAAGCTGTAAGATTTAGTTTTTGTTAACTAGTAGCTTTAATAAAGAAAAAAATAAGTATCAAACCGCAATGCGTTTCATCGGATCCATCACGACACTCTGGAAATCCATCACAGCGTGATTCTAGTGGTATGCATTCACCACTGTCACATTCCCATGATTCCAACTGACACTGAGGAGTGTCATTTAGTGCTACAAGTAAGCAATAAATATTAAATTTAATCACTAATTAAAGTAAGCAAAATAAAGAGATATTAAGGAAAATTATGAATGATATTGAAATTTATGAATGATATTGGAAACTGCAAAGATGAAGCTTTGTCGAAGAAAAGTTATGCATGTTATTTATGAGACGTATTCAAAATAAAATTTCTTGACTTCATTTTTGATAACTAAATGAAATATTTTTAACATAATGAGTGCTACAAAATTTGTATTTTTATATGTTTTAAGACTCCCATTTATAGATACAATTAATAAACAGTCCACACTTTAAGAATTTTGAATATGATAACAATATTGAACAATTTGAATATAATATTATTATTGAACAATTTGAATTTTACTCAGCTAGTTTGTGACATTGTATTTCATTTTATAATCATAATGTTCTCAGTTGTGTTGTGAGTTCATTATTAAATAATGTTGATTAAATGGTCTAAATTTTGATGGTTTTAAAAAAAATAAATTTTTTTTTCTTGTGAGTCTAAATTTAGTAAAATATACTGACATAAAAATCAGTAAATATTTTAACTTTTTATTTTGCAATATTATTTTATTGAAATTATAAACTACCAAGTAGTAGTATGAAAGCCATACTGAATTACGTTATTTAAGTCAAGCTAAAGTGACATTTCTCAAATATTTTCCTGAATAACCGAAGAACAATATAATTTTTTTTCAAATTTCTGATTTAGTTTCAGCTAAATCATCATTTGAATGGATATTTGTTTTTGCGCTTAATTTTTAGAAGAATAAAAGTAACTTACAACTTATTGAGCAACATTTTCCTTCTATACAAGCTGTTTTCATTGGGCAAACTGCATTACTCCAACAATAAGTTGAACCATGCCTGAATAAGATATTTTCACTTCATCACTAATAATACTTGTATTATTCATGAAAATTAAAAATTGTTATTAATGACGGAGGAAGAATAATAATTTTGATACCAAAAAAAGGGAGATTGAAATCAGCAGTAAAATAATATATTAAAACTTTTTGCGTTGAAACAGAAGATTTAATTCGGTTCTTTTTCTTTTTAGCTAATAAAAAACAATAAAATAGTATGGAGTTTAAATTTCAGCTTGAACTTTCAATTTAACCATATATCAGATACATATAATTATTCGAAATCGAAGTTCCTCAACCTTTTTTAGCACAGTTTGACTAGAAGATATTAAATACATATGAATTTCTGCAATTTTCCTCATCAGGATTTGATTCAAAAATGTGAAAGTGCTTGGGAAAAAGAAGAAATTCATAGTATTAATGAAGTAAGCTGTATGCAAACTAGGTTTAAAAGAAAGACAAACCAAAAGACTCTTTATCCTTTAAGGAAAGGTTTCAAAAATACTTTGAGAATCAGCTTGTTTTTTTCGTCACTATTACAAATAATATTTACAGATGAAGTGTTAGAAAGTCTAAAATTAAAAAACCAAATAGAGCACTAATATAGAAATATAGAAATGGATCATTTTTGCATTTATGTATTTTATTCATATTAAATGAAGTCTTAGTGATAGTGCAAAAGGGGATATTAAAATTAAAAAGATACTTACAAACTGAATTCTGGTGTAGAACCATCAGGACATTTTACAGTCGGTTGTGCTGCTAGCCATTTTTGTTTCCTACCATTGTAATGATGTGGAAGACTGCAGTTCAACTCGTCTGCTACATCCGAACAGTCACGCTTTCCGTTACAAATTACACTTTTAGGTAAGCAAAAATTATCCACTTGACAAAAATATTCGCTATATTCGCAAATAACTGCTGAAAAAGTAATTATCACTTAAATGGCATCTTTGCTCTTATAATTTTCAAAATTTTATTTTACAGAACAAAAATTTGTCATTTATTAATGCAAATTAATAATACTTAGTAGATTTTTGTGTCAGCACTGATCACTTTTTGTCAATAATTTCCCTTTAAAACAGGATAATAACTGTATGTGTATGTATGACATCAAATTTTGCAGTTGTTTGAAATAATATATACTAATAATTGCAAAAAATTTTTAAATCACAGTGCAAAAAACCAAAGTTAGTAGTAGCTGAGTGATTCAATTGAATTTGAATTTTAAAGGAAATTCAATATTGAAAAGGACAGTATGAATAAATGATCATTCGTTGTATTTTTGAATATAAAAATACACTTTAATACTATCAAATTTCTATTCTTCCATTTTTTTAAATTGCAAAAATTGCTTAAACATTTCTAACAACTTAAAAAATAATTATCAAAAATCATTATTATTACGCGACATATTTTTTTTGAAGGGAAAAAGAAATCACAACTTTTGACTGAACCAATTAAATTGTTCAAAATTATTGTACCAGCGCAGTTGTTGCCATCGAAGCACTCTTTTTGATGAAAGTTATTAGGAATGGAATTTGAACCCACATAAATAACGATTCCTTTCTTGGCACCATTGATACTTATCTCGTAAGTACCATTATTATCAGTAGTAATATTATCGATTAATAGATAATATTTCATTGATGTATTGTAGTACCTTATTACTCCATTGCTTTGTTCTAATGGTTTACCATTGTGCAACCACTGAGTCTTAAGTTCTGCTTTAGTATTTTGCAAATAATAAGTGAATTTTAATACTTTCCAATTAAAACTGATATTGAAAGATTGATTTCAAGCAAACAAAATACAAATTTGCCATTATAATTTAATTAAAAATGTCTTATGATAAAAAGTTATAAATTAAACAATAAAATCAGAAAATTATAACATTGTTACTTTCAACAATTGCATTCACTTCAAGACAAAATTTTAGTACAATAAAACAAAATTCTTGCTTAATAAAGTTATACCTTATGGGATGAAACAAAGTCTCCCCGCACTTTCGCAGAAATCCTAATGAAACTTCCTGGTAATAAATTTTTATAAGGAGTAAATAATGTTATGATCGTTTCGTTCCGTTCACAATTATCTATAATTTACTAAAATTTTGCATAAGAAATTAATAACTTTCAAATCAATAAATGCAATCTTACTTACTTTTCAAATTATTTGATTTAAAAATGCATTATTGAAATATTAAATTCGAGTAAAATTATTCGATAGACAAAAACTATAATAGATTTTATTATCCATAACTTATAATGCAAAAATATTTTAGACAATTTTTGTTTACACAATTATTTGATTTTACATTACATTTTTTTGCAATTTTTGTGATACTTCTTGATTTGTTGTTGACGTAAATTATTAATAATAATATTCACTTATCACTGCTTCAACTTTTTTCACTTTGAATAGTAACAACCAACTGAGATTACTTTGCATTATGAACAATCATTCACTTTTGCTTACTTATTTGACTCTTTATTTCATTTGTAAACTTGCAAGTCATTAAAAAGATTAACCTTCATCATCACCTCCACGGCATTGTTTAAATCCGTCACAGCGTTGATTTATACCTATACAAGTTCCATCTTTGCATTGGAACTGTGAATTTAAGCAACCAAAACGTGTTGATTCTGAACAGTGATTAGTATTTTTATTTTTACCATTTAATAATAGTAATATAAATAATTGAGAAATAAAATAAATTGCAAAAATTTTCAGCTTATTTATTTATAAAAATGATTAAAAATTTTGTTGAGCAGTGGTTATGCTGCATTTTTTGCTATAATTGCTCATTTTATCGCGATTTCTAGTGTCAAAAAAATATCACTTTACGACACTTGTCTGCTCGCAAAAAGTGAAATTTTATTCTAATAACAATTAAATCTCTAAATAAGGCGATTAGAAATTAATTATCTTCAGTAATAAAGAAGAAATATTAAAAATCTATATTATTTATTAATAATTTGTATAAAAGCTCAATGTTTGTCAAAACAAAAGCAAAGCAGACGTTCCGCTTAATATTACGGTAAGCGTTGCTTTTATTATTTTCATTATTAATATGATCCGAAAAGTATAGAAGTATAGAAGATATTTATTAATAAATTACAGTAAAGTTCTTTCAAGTTTCCGATGTATAAAATCAGGCAAAATTATATGCTAATTATGATTCCAACGGAATATAATCCTTTCGATATTAGTTTTCCGTATAGTACAACTTCATATTGCAAGGTATCAAGAATTAAACTAATTCTTATTAACTTTAACTTTTGTATATCATCCAAAACTAGGCCAATAAGTTTTTGCAGCAATCAAGTTTTAATTAAGAAACTAAGTGAAATATTGTATGTAAGGATGCATGATATTTTGTTTAGTCAAATTTGAGCATTAAAGCTTGAAAGCATTGTAGACTACAGCATCTGATCTGTAACCAGTTTTCTGAAAAAATTTCTCATCCTAAAGTTTGTTAGAAAAAATGCAAACAGTTTCTGCATTAAGATTATACCAAAATGAAATGTCAAGATGAAATGGTAAATATATAAAGCCATGTATAAAAAATTGAAAAATTCTGCATTAAAAATATCCAAACGTATTTGTTTTTGAGGTTAATTTTAAGTGCACTTTTTGATGCGTAAAAGTAGAAAAAAATATATGGTAAAATTGGTTACAAAGACAAAAAATATTGAGTAAAATGTTAACTTTTACAAGATATAATGCATATAAATTTATTAACATAAAGTTTGCTGTTTACTTAAAAGTACCATATCTGGAAGAAAAATCATTTTTCTCTATCAGTGTGTTCGAAAGCAAATAAATGTTGATTGAATGATTAAAGTTTTTTGAGCTAAATAAAGTATGCTTTAAGAAATACTTTTATTGTTATTTCTATTCTAAGAATATCTTGGAATAATTTTGTAACTGTGCTAAGAAAAGATATTTTAATTCAGTGTTGCTATAGCTAGCAACTTAATATTTTATAAAATTTCACTGCTGCAAGATAAAAAATTTTTATAGAAAAACAATTATATTTATTTGAACTTAATATGTTTTTTAAAAAGATTTATTGATATCAAAGTAAAATTGAAATCAATATTCTCAAATGTTTTTATGAGTTAAATAAACGGTAATATTAGTGAATGAACTAATACAAATCAACATTCTCTATTAAAAACTTTACCAGAAAAAATAATAATCAAAGCAAAATGTTGATCTTGAATTGCTGTGATTTTAAATTTAAAATATTTTAATCTGAAGCGAAAATGACAATAATATGAAAAGCAGTCAAGCAAACTGCTTCATCAGGTGAATAGAATTTTTTGAACTTTTAAAAAAAATTTGTTTTTTAATTTTTTTTTAAAAATGAGCTTATTAATGACCCCTTAAAGTCTGATATTCGAAGCCATTAAATCCAACGGCATATCTTCCGATATATCCAGATTTGATTGCCCTTTTGATGATTTCTTCAAGTTTTGGCTCTGCTTTTCGTAATTTTACTTCGATAGTTACCAAAGTACCAATAACTTTTTGATACCTATATTTTTTAGTAAAAAATATACATCATGTATGAAATTTCTCAATTCACATTACTTTTAAAGTGAAGTAGAGTGTGCAATTAAGTTTTAATGAAGCTAGCACAATATGCTTTAAATTCTAAGGCATTTTTTTTTTCAAACAACGCATTTTTTGGCCAAATTTGTGAAAGAATGAAAACGAAAATACTAAGTATTCAGTAGTAAAATGAAAACTAATGGTAATAATTCGAACTGAGTAAACATTAGAACTGTAAACAAACTAAGACTGACAGCAAAGAAAAAAATTTTAATTATATCTAAAGGAAAACTTTAACTGATTCTTGAATTAAATAAATGATAGAGATGTGGGAAAACTATTTGTTTGAATGGGAAATTAATATGTAGAATAAGTTCATATCACAGCTCAAAAAATTTAAACTATCGTTATTAGTGATAAAAGAACCTGTAATTGAGAACAGAAATATTCCGTTCTCCAGGAAAGGAAGAAAACAAAGTTTGCAGAGAATTTACAATTTCTTGGCTGGTTTCGCGAAATTTTGCTGAGGATGATTGACGAAGCGAATTCGAATACGGTAAACCGGTGAAATTTATAGTAAATCGGTAAATAGCAAAAATGCTAACTAATGATGGTATTAGTAGCATTTTTAATATAGGTTAAAAAAGTTAACCTAAAGATTAAATTGAATTCATTTACTGCTGCTTAAAATTTGCATAAAGCAAACTTTTACAAGACTTCAATAACGCTGATAAATAATAGCTGCGATAATAATTTTATTCAAGAAATTTAATACCGAAAAAGAGATTTGAAGCAAATTTTGATAAAAATAGCTATTATTATGAGAGAAAAAAAACACTGAAAGCTTTCTGTTTATAGCTATGAAAACGTTTACTAAACAGTAATTAAATTGATAGCAATTTTGAATAAACAATTTAGCCAATGATAGCTACTGCAATAATGTCTTGGTAATATTCTAAAAATGCATTACTGTAAATACTAGTAATGAAATGAGCAAATGAATTTATACTAAGTCATTTAACCTATTGGTTTAGCTATCAAATGATGGAAATGAAGAAGATTGGGCTGCTTTTACAGCCGGATTGATGATAGCTGTAGCTCCACCCTCTCCGACAAATAACAAAAATTTTTCCCTGCCACTTCTGGAATGAAAAAACAATAAATAAAAAAACTTGAAGCTAAAAATTGATCTAATTTAGATTAAGATTTAAGTTAAAAATTTTGTTAGAAAATGATGAACTAGTTACAGTTGACAGCTACGCAAATGAGAGTAATAAGAGGTTACTCTTACTTACTTACTAAGTAATTTTTTTGTACCGCTCGTTTATTGTTTATGTTTACTTAAGCAGTGCTAAATAAATGATAAAAGTTTGGAGTAGAGCAAGACAGTACGAAATACAGTTAGAAGATTTCAAACGCAATGAAATGTAATACAAAGTTTGACAACAAATAGCTGGCATTTTTTGTTTTTTTTTTGTTTTTTTTTTCTGTTCGTTGAAATAGTATAAGCAAGCTCAGAGCTTTTAATTTTGTTCATCTAAAATTATACGTTTATGCAAACTTTATTTTGTTAACCGATCACTTTGCTTTCTTTACTTTTCCCAAGTGATTCAAATTATATCATTTACTCACATTCACTTACAAACTTACTTTATAATTCTTTTTTTTTTCTTTTTGCTTTTTTGTATATTAATCGTACAGTTTAGTTATAGATATTTTTCAACAAATTTCTTTTTCTCTTTTCTCAGTGAGAAAAAATATTTTCTCTAAAGATTTAATCAGATTTGAGTTATCGTGAAGTTTTTCTCTCTGTTGTATTGTAAATCATTTTGCATAGAGTAGCAAACTCTTGTCGCTTGATTTATTTTTCTGTCTCATAAAATAAATACAAAAATTAGCATCCACACATTAAAATAAATAGATAAATTTTTTAACATAAGTCTCACAATAATTATTGTTTATGTGACTTTACTTAGTTGTTTAACAAAGTTGCTGCTGGTGTCTTCAAAATATATTACAAGTAATTCAGTAAATATAGCATAATAATTCTTTAGAATCAGTATTAAGGACAGTATTGAAGTGAAGAAAAGTTCATGGTTTCATAAGTTTTCAAATTTATAAGCTTTTAATGCTAACTTAAAATTCTCTAATGACTGATGATTTCTCAGGCAAATGCAGTTTTAATTATGCATTTAAATAGCAAGTACAACTAAATTAGCTCAAGTTAAAGGTATATATCGAGTTATTTTTATGATACAAACGTACAGACATATTTTATATATTTATCACATGACATCTCAAAGCATTGGTATTCTTTTTGACAAGAATTTTTTCAATTTTAATTCAGAAACATTATTAAATTTCAAAGGACAAAATTAGCATTACAAACCGAGTAAGATTTCTGCTGTATTCGTTGTTGTTGAATCATCAACATTTGTTACATTTCCGTTGAGTAAAACAATTACATCATCCGTAATATTATATATGAAATCATTATAATTCACTGATTGTTCCAGTGTACTCAAATTTGTAGCAGTAGTATTCAGAAATATTGATGATAATTTTAGTAGGAATAAAATTTTAGCACAATTAATTAAACTTGAAAATTGTGGCGCAGGCATTTTGCGCATGTATGATAAACATAGGACGTTCTTGTTGGATGGCTGAAGTTCACAAACGAATAATAATGAGTGGATGTACTCTGACAAAGTTGATGGTAATGATGATGATAGTGATGTTAAAGGCAATGAAATGGTAATAATTATAATAAATTTAATTAATGGTTATCACCCAAATTCTTGAGAAAGATAGGAAAAGAAAGCATATGAAACCTAACCATCCTTGTCAACTTTCTTGTGACATTTTCTTTTCTCCCACTCATACAGATCAGTAATTTGGTCAACATATTCAATATGTATATATATAGTAAATATGCATATATTTAATATATATATATATAT